GTGTGTGTGTGTGTGTGTGTGTGTGTGTGTGTGTGTGTGTGTGTTTCTGTATGTGTGCTGGTCACAGCTCTAGAAGTTCTATTTATTTAATTTCTCGCTTTATGCTTTTTACTGCAGGGCTAAGTGGCACAGCAGGGATCTGTCAGTGGGAAAAACATCAGTGAGTTTATAGTTAAAAGGCTTGATGTTTCACTTTAGCGGGGTTGCTGGAAGCCATCAGTGGGACTCTGTCGGTCCTCCTAAACAAACATCAGTTCTCTGAGTTTCAGCGTACACCACTGACACCTGCTAATGGGTACTTTCACAAAACATTGGCAGTAAAACACATTAGCTGTGTCTGTGTTTAAGTGAAAACATCAGAGGGGAAAAAAACAACGTTTCACATGTGGTGGTCAAAACTTCCCATGCCACTTCTAAAAGCAGTAGTTGGGTTCAAACTGTGTTGGAAAGTTCAGAAAATGATTTTATTAATAATTAAAGTCTAAAAAAACTGAGTAACTGATGATACTTTAATTTATTGAAGGAGCTAAAGTGAAAGCCAAAAGAAGCAGAGCCCTAAATGTAGCAAAACACTAAAAGGGTAGCTAAAGCTAAAGGTGGGTACAATGTGGGACAACGACAACGTGCACGGCCTAGACTACAGTTTTGCAAGATGTGCACACAAGAAAAACTGCAAAATTTCTAGTTTAGGCTCAAAAACTTACTAGCTGCATGGTTGCAAATGCTCAGAATTCAGTCAGACTATACCAGAAAATTCACCTGTTTTCTCACAATTTTAGCTTAAGCCACTACAACTATGAGTTAAACTACAATTATACATCATCCACTGACAAAAAAGGAAAACTAACTGAAAACAGTAAGAATAATTATATTTTTTTCACCCTTTGATTTGGAAAAAAAACATTTTGTTCGGTTCACTTCTGCAAAAATAACAAGACTGCAATTACGGCTGGGTGTTGTTAAAATTCTCACTATTCAATTTGATTCGAGTCTCCATGGGAAAACTTTTACATATTTATCTTCTTGCCCATATAGACAGAAATACTATACACTGTTGTTTTTGAGGATAGAAATATCTAAAAAAAYGAGTAGCACAATAATTCGTGTTGTAAGAAAATTTGTGTTCAATAAACTGAAGTCGATATTAAAAACACCATTGTTAAATAAATTGATTTGTAGAAGGAATCAAACCATACAACACCAGAATTCTGGATCTGAGTGAGGTTTACTGTCACCGAAGCTGACAGGAAACCAACACTGGCGAAAAACCAGGAAGTTCATCAATTTATATGAGTTCTTCAATGCCTGCGTTCGCCCCCTACTGACCTACGGCTGAATCACAGGCATTCAGACAAAATTCTCAGCTAATGCCATCACAACGGTTGATTATGTGTTGTCATATAATTCGGACATGTAACTAATCTATATCAATCAAAACATAATAGATTAAACATTGTCAACATTACAAAAAGGAAAACCTAAAAATATAGGGTTGTGCTTTTAACATTAGTACTAACCTCTAATAACTATAAATTTCTTCAATCCCCCTGTTCACATGACCAAATCATGTGAACAGTGTTCTAAAAATGGAGTGTGAACATAAAAACATGAAATATCGAATTGGAAAAAAATATACTGCAATGCATTATGGATTATTTTACCCACCCAATGCAAACTTGGTGAATAAATATCATCTTTTCAGAAGCTCAGCAGGGGTAAGAAGAACCTGCTAAACTTTCAACTTTTAAAGCCACTTTTCCCAAAGTGCTTTCTTTGTTTAATAGACTGAATACATGATGGTTAATTATTCAGGAGTCCTTTGCATAACCGAGTAAAAAGACATCAACTGTCTGTCCCAGTCTCATGGAGACTCCTGTAGAGACGGGTTTTAGTATTCCTTCGAGGTAAATCCCTCCTCAGTTTTGAAGAAGTGAAAGCATGCAGTATATATCAACAGCATGGTATAAATCAGGCCAAGGGTAAGACTGGAATTGAATAGAAAGCAGAATGTGGCTCATTTTGGGACTTGCAAATGACAAAGAAAAAAAACGCAGAGAAATCTTTCCTGTCTTGCTGAAACCGGCTTAGAAGTTTCAGAAAGCGGCGGAAATAGGTGCTCCTGTAATCGTTTTGGCATTGCCCCCGACTTAGACACGAGGCGATTATTGGATTTGCTCAGCCGAGTGGAACGCCGACTTATTTCAAACGTACAAGAAGAAGCCCTGGGGGACACTTTATTTTAAGTGCAGTCGGCAAAATTAGCMCCCGCTTCCACGTCAAGCTGACTCATGGTTTAAAAACTCTTTTTAAGAAAACAGACCCCCTCATCCCCCACCGCACAAAGAACATCCCCCGCTCTTGTTGGTGCTTATTGAGACTAATGGCTGCGTTGACACAGGGGAGAAGTTAGGGACGAATTAGATTACGGCTTTTAAGGGCCAGGAAAGCCTGGTTTGATAAATTACAAGCTCTAGTATACATTATCGTCACCGATATTTATTTCCTGCCCCTGTTGCTACAAACAACCGAGGAGTCTTTTTATTCTTTAACACGCCGTCAAGGCAAAAAAAAAAACCCCGCTAATTGCTGAACATGAATTACTAAAAGCAGCGGCGCATATTTACTAACGCAATGAAATGAAACTGGCAGCAATATTCTTGTTTATGTCTAAGAGAAGTTAGTCTATCCCCAAGGTTACTCCACTTACGCTCGCTGTGCCGCTCATTAAGACAAATTACTGCGTCTAGATTCTATTTTTATTTTTTAGAAAGCCAAAAAAGTCAGTTTAAAGTTTATTTTATTGTTATTTTAAAAAGTTTATATATATATATATATACTTGGTGATTGTGCAATTGCCCTCGTCTGTGTGTGCATGTCTTTTTTGTCTGTTAGCAAAATATCTCCAGAACCACAAAATGTATTTTAACGAAACTGTCAGAAAATAATAATTAGATGTGCYTCCACAACTGACTAAGTTTTGAATCAATTCGATTAAAAATGGCTGCCTCAGCTAATCAGCCTTTGCTAACGCAAGAAAGGCTATAAATCAGTTTATTTTACAAGCATTGAGCTAAAATTTAGTATGATAGTAGCTGAAAGTCATTCCCAACACATATTTTGAGCATTAACAAATTGCACCCAAATCTTTGCTTAAAAATTACAAATGAATGCTGGAGGCAGCCTTGTTTGTCTGTTAGCAAAATATGTCATGGATCAGGTAACACATTTTAATGAAACTTTCAAAAAGTAATCATCTAAAATTCAACTACAACAGATTAACGTTTGAAGTCGACCCAGTTAAAGACGGTCGCCTTAGCTGATCAACTTCAGTAAACACAATAACAGTTATAAGTCAGTCGATTTATTAGATACAGAGCTGAAATTTGGTGTGTTAGCAGCTGAGAGTTACCGCCATCACATTTTAGCAATGTTTGTTTTTCTTATGTAAATATATAGTGATAGATTTTGTTTGGAACATCGATAACTGTCTCCAAAATTTGAAAATTTACCAAAACAATATTATTAGGGAGGAACTTATCGTCTCTTTTTAAATAATGTTAGTCTAGTTTGTTACGTAAGCAAAGCTAATTGGAAGTTTCCACCCCGAGGTCAGATGAGGGCGATGCTGRTGGCATCAGGTGCAGGTTTCCCGCTGGTGTTCAGGATGTGGATGAGCCACACCATCCTTCCTGTMATTGTCCAGGAGAGGGCCGAGCGCAGCCATCGGTGGAAACGAGCCGGCTTCAGACAGGGCYAACGTATTAAAATGGTCGTTGAAAAGTTTCGTCCTTGAAATGTGTTCATTGGAAGTGAAATGTGGAGGGGGAAAAAAAAAGGGAAACGAGACAACAGATTGTACAGCAAACGTACATTTCCGAGAAGAAAAGGATCATAGCTGGGTGGGGGGAGGGGAAAAAATGTTCAAATTGCGTGTTTTCTCAGGCGTTTCAGTCAAAGTGCTTGTGTCGTGCAAAGTTTCCGAGCGACCAGTTTCAGCTTCATTTGAATGTAATGGAGCAAAACACTGAGGTGTGTTTGTTTGTGTGTGTTTGTGTGTAGCTGGAGCTGATCAGACACATGCTGGAGTCAGTCTGGCTGAAGTACAAACTTGGTCCTCATGCTTTGTGCTTGTAAGTACAGAAGTCCTTTTTTGGTTTTTTGGCTAGTTTAGAATGGCGATCATGAATGCTGATAAACTATTTATCCARGCCAATCCCTCTGTTTATAGATCTAAAGGAGGAAACTACCCGTGACCTGTCCTTCCACTGTGTGCGCTTGTTACGTAACTATTCTCTTGTAATTACGTTGTGTGTTTTCCAGGATGCAGCAGGCCAGCCCAGCTGAGTGGTCTGTGTTTCACTTCATGCTTCGAATCCTGGAGTCCACCCGGGGTCTCTGTCTACCCCTCCCACCTGGTATCACACAACACTTATTACAAATCCGGTCTGTCAGCAACAAGAAAAAAAAAACGTGTTTCTATTGTGCAATGACAGAAAAGCCGCAGTATTAATTAGCATTAGCAATGTGGCGATATAGCTTAGGGAGTTTGTGAATACATTTTTATTTATTTTATAGCGTTTGCTTCTGTTTGTTATGAATTCTATCATTTTAGTCACTCATGAATAAAATCTAAATCCTAAACTATGACGGGAGAAGATAGAAAATAGAAAATGTGCTTAAACAAGGCAGTGGATTTACGAGAAGGAAGGTGTATAACATGACTTATGCTTGGATATAAAATAAACAAACCCAACTATTATTATTAGAACTCGGATTATGCTTGTCACTCTCAACAGATGAAGGGATGAGCTGTGAAGGAATGTTTTCAGGAAATGTTAGCATTCCTTCCTAGTTGCATATTTCATTTCCCCCCTCATCCCTCCCACGTTTTGTGTTTCGTCTCTCTCCAGGCTATCACACCCTGTTTGCTGTGTTTGCTGTTCGTTGCCTCCCTCATCACACATTTTTACAGTACATTGACCACGGTTTCCTGCAGCTCACCGAAACCTTTGTGTCTCGTCTCATGACAGGTACACACACACACACACACACATTCATTCTAACGGGTAAAATGTAATCCTGTACAGCACTCTGCAAAAAGAAAAAAAAAATATTTCCCTCACTTCTTTTATAATTTGCTTCAGAGGACTTTCTTGTAATCTCTTAAAGTGGTTTTGAGCAATTGTTGTCCAGGCTTTCCGACAGGCTTTCAAAGTTTTTCTTTGAACTTCGGCAGCTTTTTCATACATTTTCAGCTCAGCATGTGGAACAGAGGGTTTTTACACATCARAGCATAATAAGTTTTAGTTTAAAAAAGAAAAAAAATTGTGTAGGTCTTCTGGACGGGTTCTTCTCTAATGAAACGTTTCGTCTCTCRTCCAAGAGACTTCTTCAGTCTGAGAGTTTCAGGCAAAATTCAGGCTTTTAAGCACTGCCTCCATGTGACTGATACTCACATCACATGGCTATCATTGACACCTAATTAACACCTATTGTTAACAGGGGTGGAGTGATACTGGCAACAGCAGCACTGTAGGAGGGGGACAACTGAAAACGGAGGCCTCCACCTCTGTTTAATGATGGACGGTCTTTCTTGATAAAAATGGCTTCTTTTACTCCTCTCTCAAACCAACGTTCCTCTCCATCAAGAATGAGAACATCCTCATCTCTGAAAGAGTGACCGCTGGCCTGTAAATGAGTGAAAACTGCAGAGTTCTGGCCATTAGATGTAGCTCGTCTGTGTTGGGACATTCTTTTGAACTGGCTGCTTTATTTCCCCGATGTATAACTGGTCGCAGTCCTCCTGGCACTTAACAGCATATACAACATTGCTCTGTTTGTGCCGGGACAGATCAAATGATTGTCCAGTTTTGACRTATGCTAATTGTAGATAATTGGCATTTTCTGTGAAAATGCAGCATGAATGCTGAAGTATTTCTGAAGATAAAAAAAATGATGTACAAATGTTTTGCAGTTTGTGGTAAAATTGCCAAAATAAGCAGCTGAAAGTAATACAAAAAGCAAATTTAGCTGAAAAAAAAAGCTGAAATAACTAAAAAGTAGCTTCAATGGCAAAAATCAGCCAAAAAAAAGCATAAAATGATCAAATTATCAGAAAAAAGCTGATAGCAGCATGACAATTTTATTAAGKATAATATCTGAAATTAACAGAAAAAAGCTAAAATTAACAAAAAAAGGAGCTGATATCATAAAGAAGTGTAAAAAAAAGGCAGAACCAGAACAAAAGGTAAAAAGTTCAGTAAAAGTACATACTATTTTGAATGATTTTTAGGATGTTGAAGACAGCTCATTCATTTTCAATCAAAATAAAAACGGTCAAGAAGGCTAAATATTTCAAAAAGTCTAAATTGCTGAAATGCCAAAAAATCATAGCTGGAATATCCTGAAGACAAATAGATCATTTCATAGTGTGAATGCACCATAAGCTTGATGAGCATTCACACAAGAATGAAATGTTTTGATGTTTCAAGCTTCTTTATGATTCCATCATACCTCCTTCATATTTATCACTGTGTACTGTCACTGCTGATTCTGCAACAGTGTTTTGAGTAAAATAGCAAGAGATTGCAAGCTCTGTTTATAAGCTGCAAAGTTTATTGTTGATTTTATTTTGCAGGTGTCATGATGCAGTGTAACACACCTTAAATAAATGTGAAGCTCTAAAGGTGTGGAGTAAAATAAAAATGCTTTAGACAACAACAACAACAACAACAAAAAAGGAAACAAAGGAAAATCCAATGACTATTTTCAAATACAGTATAATTAATGGATGAAGATAATTGATTAAATCTTTAGCTTTCTGCAAACTATATTTAATATTAATATTTCAACATTTTTCCAGTTATTTTTAAAATTTTACTGCTAAATCAAAATCCTTGAGGTGACAAGAAAACTAAAAGTAAAATACTGACTTTATCAGGATGCAGAATTCATAACTGAATCTGTGACTGGAAACTGTGAAAAGCAGCCTTTGCTAAACACCTTTGTTCTTTCAGACTGATTAATCTGTCGAGAGGACCATATTTCAAAAGGTTGCCTTTTAGTTTCTTGTCACACTAAGTCTTTGCAGATAAAAGATGGGTTTGTTCTTTGTACATCTTCTATACAAGTTCAGTTTGAGACACTATTCCTGATTACGGATGCATGAAATCTAACGCCCAGGGATCATAAGAGTTACCTGTAAATCCTTTAAGGATTTTTAGGGCATTTTTGCAGCCTTTTTTTTGTTCCTGCGTTCAGTGTTCTATTGAACTCACTGGGCCACCCAATCATGGTAAAACTACTAATCATTAGAAGTATATGCTGCTTGTGGTTTTGTTTATTTACAGTGGATTTTTTTAGTTAAATAAACAAGAGCTCTTTCTAAATCCTTCATGTTTCTTCAAGGCACCCATTTCTGTTTTCTTTGACAGCTTTTTAAATCTTTTTTATGGTGATGCAACCCTCTTCAATCGGGAAGACAGACGCAGCCTGTTATTTTTAAACAAATTCCAAACTTTGGCATTTGTTTCGAAACATTTGGTTTTGATTTGAGGGTGTAATAAATCTGTGAAAGTGTGCCTATTTGTCACGGATTTAATTTGTACTATTTAGAATCATTTGTTTGACTATTATTGTCTGTCTTCACACTGATTTATTTGACTATATTATCTTTCTTCACACTGAGTCAAAGAGGACAAAGTGTTCATGGGTGATGTTAGCATTTAGCACCACTACTGCCTGAGAATGTCATCTGTCCGTATATTTTGTGAGACCACAACCATCTGGCAGGTCTGCTTTTTGTCCCACCTGTTGTGAACAGCTTTTTAAAAGACCCACTAAACCCAAGCAGGAACTGTGATGAACAGATGAAGAGCTCTTAAACGAAAGTTTAAGTGCTCGTAATGAAATAAAAGTTATGTAGCTACAGTCTGCTTTAACTTTGTGAGAATGTACGTTGACTTAGTGACCTTTCTGTCCTCGTTTCCTGATACAAACACCATCTTTGTTGGGATCAGTAGTTTTTATTTGTGGGAACTAAAGCTCGATCCAAAAGAGGCAAAAATATCTTTACTGGTGTCCTGATTAGGTCTAGGCAGGGAATGTTTAGGTGGGTTAAAGTCAGGCATGAAGTGATTAAAGTTGAGCCTGTACTGGAGGGGTAATGATGTGAAGCCGGTTTATCTTTAGAGAGCACTTTTAGCTCATTGGCATGCACCAAACATCCCGTGTTTAGGAACATTCTTCGAAATCTATAAACCGCTTTGCAAAACATACAAACGGAGGACTTTCAATTAAAGGCCTCACATGGGGCTCAGGCACGTAAAGAAATGATCTGCAATGAGTAGCACCACAAAGCTGGCTCAGAAACCGTTGGGTAAATATATTTTTTTGTACGACACAGTGGTGTTGAAACTATAGAAGATGCATACATGAACCCATAAATGGTCAGAGTTGAGCTCTAATGTTCTGCTTTTTTCTAGGTGCTCCTTTGTAAACGTTTTTATATAAAAGGCATGTTTTTTGTTATTAATTGTTTTGCTTTGGTATGTTTTTTTACCACGGTTGAAGACCAAACAGCATTTAAAGGTAAAGTCTTGCTGATTTGAGAAAAAATTGCAGGTGGAGAACTCCTAATTCTGGACTATTAAAAAAAAGACGAGAATTTATTGGATCTGTTTGATTTCCTGATGAATATTGTGTGTCAAATAAGATAAGATATGATAAGAAAAAACCAGAATAGAGGTTTAAATCACCATATTTATCACGATACAATATAATATTGATTTGTTTGGAAGACGATACGATATTTCTCGATATCACAAAGTCTGTCCAGTGGTGGGCAGCGCTAAACCCAGAAATTAGCTCCGCAATTTCTAAAGCGCTTATGAAAATATTTAGGTCCACAACTTCAAAAACGCTTATGCCATAGAAAAATTAGCGGAAGCTAATTTTAAAGCACAAGTTCAATTTGACACTTACTAGCTGGCAACAATTCATGTACAATATATGCACAACACTGCCAACTAGCGGTATATGAACCCTTGTACAGCTTAATCCTACAACCGCCGATTGCTGGGGATGTGATTTCCTGAAACAGAACTTTGGCTCCTGGTGTAAAAATTAAAAAGTTGTTGAGGATTGCTAGTTCGGCTGCTTCTTTGTCTTTTTCTTTTGTTTGTTGGAGATTTTTCATTAAAGAAGCATCAATAAAGCAATTTTAAAACTATTTATATATTATTATTCTGGGTACATGACGGATTTAATTTCTGACGGGAAACGAAAGTTTTCCATGTAGTTGCTCCAGTTGACCACTAGATGTCTGTCTAACCCCGTTGGCGGATTGCTTTGACCACTTACGTCAAGTATTGAGCTCCAGCGTTTAAACTTTTCTTTTTAAAAAAGGAGCTCTGATTGCAAAGTAAAATAAATCAATACATACAACATTTTAGTATGGATTACAAACGTTTACTGTTTTTGCTGGGAAAGAGTACTAAACATTGCCTTCCTGCTACGTAAGCAGACACAAAGCATTGTGGGAAAGGAGAACCGTGACCCAAAGCAACAGTCAGCAAGGATGTATGCCTTTCCAATAAGTAAGTTTATCTGGGAGGCGTGCTGTTGGATAGATCATATACATTGTGATTCATTGACAGCCGTACCTTCCACTGTTCAAGATAATGATGACTGGTAGATAAATAGTTATTGGCGGTACTGCATTTTAATTTTAGAAAGCGCAAATCCGCTTATGAATTATAAAAATTAGTAAGACCACTAAAGTACAAACAAAATATTTAGGTCCGCAATTAGCAGATTTGCGCTGTAGCGGACTGGTGCCCACCACTGAGTCTGTCACAATGGGATTTTGATTCAATTCATTTCACATGTCAATGCAATTGATAGGATGTGATATATGCTCAGCTAGCATAAACAATTGCGTTAAATAGATATATGACTTTGATCCACATCAGGTATATGTTGACGATATGGATAAATTTATTTATTTATTTGCCGTTATTTAACCAGGCATGTCCCGTTGAGATCTCAGATCTCTTTTTCAAGGGTGGCCTGGGCCTGAAGGCAACTTATTGTACATGTTTTTGGGGTGGGGGAAACCAGAGTACCCGGAGAAAACCCACGCAACCATGAGGAGAACAGGTCCGAACTGGGAATCGATCCCAGGACCTTCTTGCTGTGAGGCGTCAGTGCTAACCACTGAGCCGTCGATGTAATTGAATCATTTATTCGATTTATCGATTGTGGATCGATGTAGTTACAACCATATTGTCGAAACATTAAGTTTATGTTTACTGCTCTAGAAAACAGTCATGAAAAAATAAAAGCAAAGACGGCTTTGGAGTCTGACTTTCAAGTTGGGTGATGTCGTTACCAAATGGTTGCTTAAAGTTCTGAATCTGAACGGTTTCAAAGTTAAAAGTAAGAGAAATGAATATTTCAAGACTCAATGTCAGATGTTCCATGCATCGCTTCTTCTTCTTCTCTGAGATTAATTAAAAATCTGTTTATCTATTTTGAAACTCTGCTTTGGCTGCTCAGGTGTGAACTTTCTAATTCATTACAAGCACAAACAAACTCATCCGACCAGCCTTCTTTATGATCGGTTCAGGTTTCTTATAAATTTCTCCCAATTTTTTATATGAATAAAGCAAAATTTAAAATCTTGAGTCCTACATTTGTCTGCATGTGGGTAATATTTCTAACACTTGTGCAGAGACGATGTGTCAAGTTTGGTCTTCTCAGAAGAGTAATGAGGAACATGTTTTCTGTTTGTGTGTTTTAGATATGGACAACAGCAGGACCAATGAGAAGCTGAAGTTCAGCATACTTAAGAGGCTTCCTCAGGTATGGTTAGAAAGGGAAGTTTTTTGAAGAATAATRGTTTTTTTTAATGGGTTTTGAGGAATGGAAATCTCCAGAAATCTTTATGTCTAACATCTAATGAGTACCAACTCAAAGATATGGGTTGTGAAGGTAAGCTTTAACTGGAACACAAAAAAACACTGCAGAAACTGTCCATCTTACCAAGTTTTAAAATCTTCTATCCAGCCAAAAAGTCTTTTTGATCTTGTTTTGAGACTGATTTACTAAACAAGAACTGATTGTGTAAGAATAATCATCGTTTTCAGAATGTGTAAGATTATTTGTCATGTTAGTCTGAAAATTTGACTCAAATTAAGTCAAAATATCTGCCAATGGAGTAAGAAAATTTTACTTGGTAAGATTCTTGAAATACTTGATTTGACTCAGTTTTTTCTTATTTCAAGAATCTTACCGAGTAAAATTTTCTTATTCCATTGGCAGATATTTTGACTTAATTTGGGTCAAATTTTCAGACTAACAAGACAAATAATCTTACACATTCTGAAAACAAGATGATTATTCTTACACAATCAGTTCTTGTTTAGTAAATCAGTCTCAAAACAAGATCAAAAATACTTTTTTGGCTGATATAAGATTTTAAAACTTGGTAAGATGGACAGTAGTCCAAACAACCATGTAAATAAATATGGGTGTGATTTTTATATGAACAGTAAATTTTATGATATGAATTTATTTTACAGAAAAACAGATTAAATAACCTGTAATTAAATTATTTGATGAACTAAACTCCAAAACTTACGAATGATGCCGATAGAGAAATCAAGAATTAGAGACTATTTTCTGGTTATTTTCCAGCAGCAGTAAATGGTTCCCAAAAAATAAATAAATAAAATAAAAAATAAAAACCTAACTGTGTTGTTCATGGTGTGCTCTTTTAGTCTGGATAAAATTTCCATCTTTTCTCATGCGGTTCTCTTCCCAAACTTCCAACTCTGCTCCAATTATGAGTTTGAAGTTATTTTGGGTCTCATTTCCCTGAAGCCGCCCTCAGGCTCATCACAGTAACGCTTGTGTAACCAGCTGGTGTGTGTCTGTGTGTAGAGGAAGGGTTAGTGGAGATAGGACTGAAATTCTACGTATGTGTTCTTGTGTGTGATCATAGGAATGTTGAGTGTTTTGTGTTTCCTTTTTATTTCCTGACCATCAGACCTTTGCTGGGAAGGGTTAGCAGGTTCCACAAAACACAAAAATGCACACACATACTCACAAACTGTAGTGGAGTTACAAGACAGGAGATGTGATTTGAACCTTGTCTACACTGGGTAGCGTTCGTTTCTCAATGAATTAAAGCTGCGAATGTGGGAAAATTCTCGTTTCCTGTCAAGCTAAATGTAAAAAAGCATTTCTAAAATGAGTGCTTATCAACCAACAAAGCTCTTGTGTGGTTTTGGAAGTGATCCGAGTATGTGTTGGGAATGCCGTTCAGCTACCACACCAGCTGACTGACAAAAGCCATTTTTGTGGTTGCTAAAGTTGATTAGCTAAATAAAAGCAATATATTGCCTACCCCATCACAAATCATTTTCCAGTGGCAATAAAAACAAATAATTACATCGAAGGTTTTCATTCACAAAAAGTGAAGATACGCATCTTAAAGGGCCAATATTATGTCTTTCTCAGGCATATTATACCATAATAAAGTACCTATGTCACATTTAGTTGTTATTAAAATGCTGTTTTTATGTTTAAATAGAAAATAAACTTATCTTCTCATCACTTCCTCTTCTAAACGCCTTGAAA